TGACCTGGCTGAAGTCGGACACTTAACTGACTGCGCCACCCAGGCGCCCCTTATTCTCTTACTTTCAGCAGACAGTATGTCACCAGTACTGTCGAATATGGTAGCCATTAGCCCAATGTACCTATTTAATTTAAATTTAAATTAGTTAGCAAATTAATAAAATGAAAATTCAGTTCCTCAGTCATAACAGCCATATTTCATATGCATAACAGCCATGTGTGGTTAAAACTACCATATTGAACAGTACACCTACAGAATATTTCTATCATTGTAGAATATTCTCCTGTAAAGAACTGACATAGATCTTGTTTTTACTGACTTGGAAAGACCCTAATGTCAGGAATTAGGTATCCTGTCTCCAGCCCTTGGCTCCCTGGATTGCTATGTGACCTTCAGAGGTTTGCTTTACTCTCTGATTTTTCACCCTATTGTCTCTAAAATAAAATTGTAGTGTCAAATCAGACCCTACCATTGTGTTTAAGTGTTGTTGGCACACAGCTAGGGATGTTATAATTACTGCTTCTTCACAGTACAGTACAGCACAGTACGGAATAGAAGCACAAATGTGCTTCTAGAACGTTACCCCCAAAGACCTGTGCTTTGAGCCCTTCTCCTTATAATTTCTTGTTTGGGGTTTTTGCCAATGTCCAAACAGATGAAATCCAGATACTTTGCTGACCCAGTCTCTTGTCAGGGAAGATATCCCACTGCCTGTCCTCACTTGATGCATATTTTACATTCCTTATTGATTTGTAACCCAGTCTATCTCATTTTGCTGCCAGTTTGTGTAAGCACAAAAAATAAAAAATATGTATATATAATACTATCCTAAGACAAGCATAATTGGAAGGTTAACTCTGAAAATCATGAAATGTCTGACAATACGAAACAATTGTTCTTACTTTTTATTATCTATGCTACTAATCATGACTATTACTAAGGATAGTGGAAATATGATTATACTCTGACAATACTCTGACAATGATTATACTCTGACAAGGCTTGTGTCTAAGCCTGATAAATTTCTGAAAATTTAACCGGTATTAAAAAATAGAAAATCCAAATTGTCAGGTGGTTTTTTGCCTTGTAAGTTTAGAAATGTAATTCATGTTATTAGTTTTGAATATTCCATTTTAATAGATGAGGGGAAACACTGGATATAGTGATACCTTTTCATTATCTGAGCTACATGTGTTTCAAAATAAAACACAATGCAGCAGAGGCAATAATTGAACATGTACCCAAAACTTATTTGCTAATAATTGAACCTTGAAACTGGAGTTAAAAGTATCTGCTAAAACAAAACTTCTTAGGTTTTTGTTGCAGGAAATGGAGTGTCTAGTTTGAAGTACAATGAAAATCATGTTCTTGAAGAATGTGATAATAGCAGGCAATACTCAACTTGACTAATGCGAACTATTTTTATAGTTAAAACTTTGAAGAATGTTTATATATTAGAAGATATATATACATACACACAGACACACACTAAAATCATCATCAAACAAACAGAAAAATGCTCTCAAAGTACAAGATAATTTTTTTCCTAATTGAACTAATACACTCTAGTTACAGTGCGTATTTTTTTCACTTTATTTTGTGCTTTGTTGTACAGTGCAATAGATATACATTAGTATGTGGACATAAATGGTGTGTGTGTGTGTGTGTGTACACTTGCTTCAGTTTTGTGATGCAGCATTCAAAGAGGCATAACCTTTGGCACATCAGCAAACCTGTAAACTGGGTGTCAACTAATCACATTATCTTTAGAGCTAACTATTGACCACTCCAGGCAAAAGAAACACCACTGTTTTGCTTATCTTTGTGTTCAGTTCCAATTCTACAGAGTTTTACCAAAGATCAGATGGATTAAAATGGCCTTCCTTAATGGAAAGTAGAATACTGAGGCTTTTCATCAGAGGCTCTTGCTGCTGAAGAGGAATGTAGGGTTCCATTTAGCATCTCCTTGAAAAGGAGTCAAGAAACAGGGCTTGCAACTTCTTGTTTGCCACTTGTGTCATTTCCTGTGTGTTCTGCATCAACCTTAGCCAGTATTCTTGAAAGAAAAAGAAATATTTTAGAGCAATGAAGGAGTTAAGTTGTGGAAAAGACCTAAAGCCAGATTTAAGGAAGGGAAAACATATATATCAAGTATATATAAATGGTAGAGTAGGGTTGGAAAAGTCTCTATGAAGACGGATTGAGGCCCCAGGGCCTGCTTTCAGAAAATTAAATGAAAATATGAAGAAACATTTTCACCACATGAGAGGAAGTGAGCTGATCTTGGGGATGGGAGTAGGAGCAGGAACAAACATAGGACATTTTTCATCAGTTCAGCACCTCAGGATTCTGTCAAGTCCTGCTCTACCCAATTTTTTGTAATGAAGCAATTGAGAAAAAGGTCTTTAACATTTTTTTTCTGTGACTTTATCTCTCACAAAGGAACAACAACAACAAAAATCTTTGTCTGGATTTGAGGATAAGTTGATTAGTTCTCCAATGTGATTGCTATATAAGCCCATATATTTTTAAAAAATAACCTTTAAATTATTTTAAATATAAAACTGTGACATGAATGTGACAAATCTTTTAGTTTACAACATGTCGTGAATAGAAAGTGAAAAATATTTATTCATTTTGTCAAATAAAAATAATCTTAGTATAATAATATGTTTTTCCAAAAAGGTGGGGCTAAATGTAAATTATATGTGGATGTTTCTGTTCAATATGTACATTACCTAAAAGAAAGGCAAACAGAAAATTATGTGGTTTTCACATTCTCCATATTGTTTATATTCACTATTATGAGAGCTGATAATGAAATACCAAGCACTTTAGTTTTATACAAACAGATGATCAGGAGGTGTTCTAAATCACTGAAAATGTATAATATAGTTGGCATTCTTTCAAATTAATGTCATAACATGTTCTTTTCCTTCTTTCTTGTTTTGTTATAATTTTGTGTAAGAGTTAAATCAAGCTGATTAAATCATTTCAGTACCATAATGGGAAAGCAGAGAAGAGAGGATTAGCTCATCATGCAGGATGAGTTAGGTCATAGTTTATCCGACTATAATTCAAATGCTGTGCTTTCCAAGTCTGGAAGTTATGGCTATGTCAAAGGTTAGTGCCAAAATGTCTTTTATCATAAAAGACAACTGCTTATTCCTACAGTTGGCCAAGCTTTCGTTGGTTAGGTAGAACCAGTAAGGTATATAGGTGTTTTAAAACTCAAGATTGTCTTCAATCTCTGCCTTTTATTTTTAAAAATAACTGTATTAGTTTGTATTAGACATACAGTGACATTTTTCTTAAGAAAAAATCAATTTATCATTATATCTTTCTTTTAATAGCTATAAACATAAGTAGAATCAATGTGAAGCGTAGAATTGTATTTGAAATAAGACTTTGGTTAAAAGAAAATGAAGGAAAGATTTATAGCAGTTTTATTCAAAATGTGAGTTCTGACCCACTAATGGGTGGTGAATTCAATTTAGAGGGTCTTTGACAGAATTTTAAGAATGAAATAAAAGAGAAGACAATAGGTTAACATAGAAAAGAAAAGTTGGGGCAATTATGGAACCTACTAGTAATGAGAAATGGGGTGGGGGGAATAAAAGGATTCTGCTGGATTAATAGGTAAATTGTTTTTCTTATTTTTTCTTACCCTTGGCCTTGAGCAAAAGTAGTCTGTAATTCGTTAGTGTAGATTAAAGGGGATGGATTTTCCAGCTGCAGAACTCTAAGCTCGTAAAGTGGGAATATTGTAATCTACCTCACAGAGTTAAGGTGGGAATTAAGTGAAATCATACATGTTAAAGCCTCCGGCTTGATTCCTGCCACATGTTAGACACTCAATAAATGAATGATAGAAGTAATTTCATAATCCATTAGATTATATGCATGGCTATCTTGAGATGGCTAGAGGAGAGGCCAGGTACTCCATCAAAGTTATTCATCAAAGGAAATAGACAAGAGCAAGAGATGTGGTTAGGTTAGGTTCATAGAATTGTATTTGGATGGGATTATTCCCTCCATTCTAGTAACTCCTGGTTGATTAGGAATCTAGTACATTCAGTCCATTAACCGTTTCACCCAAGCACCTCTTGTTTGCCAAATGAACCTTAAAAGACAATTGGGACTTGCCTTCAGGCCATGTCAGATACACATGATCTGGTTTCACAGGCTTCTCTGTGGAACTAACCATTTATGTAAACGAGTTTCAGTACAATTATCACTGGCCAGATAATCTACAATCATCAGCTGTTGCAAACAGGCACTGAGTTCACTACCCTCTTCTTGGAATAAGCACAGTGAATGGGTTTCAGAAATAAAAGTGTGAACCATATTAAAACTAAAGTACAGTCATATGTTCCCACCTCTCTAATTAAATGTCTGTCATGTTTAAGCAGATTTTTGTTTATGCTCCCTTTCTTACTCATGGGCAGATTTCTTGATAGGAAAAAGGATGTGTTGGAAAAAGGATGTTTTATTCACGGTGCTGGCAAATATTTGACATAAATATGAGTTTTTATGAGTGAATGAGTCCTGATTATCAACATATAAATCATATTGTGACAGACTCAAGTTTCTTCTTCAGTTTTTTTGTGAAAGGCCAATTTTTTGTATCTCCTTCGCTGATTTATAGCTGTCACTTCCTAAAGCACAGAAAGATGGAAGAGGAAAGTAGTTATTCATGCATTCAAATACACCTACCAGCTTACCCTGGACAAGAGGATTTGACCCTAACACCCTCCTGTAGGCAGGCAGAGCAGTCCCCGTGTCCCTGAATCCTGAAGAACTCTGCACTATTTACAACAATCATAGAAAATGTCTGACTCTGCTCTCCTAGAGTTCCAGAGAATTTGGTTATTATATAACCTAAAAATATATAGCTCTTTCCATTGTCTTTGCATTATCTATTTTCTTAGTTGTTGTTTTTCTTTGAAAGCAGTGTGGATATTTTTATGAATATAAAGACAAATATGTTTTTTCCCCAGGTTTGAGAATGAATAAAGGTGCCATCACCCCACCCCGTACTTCTCCTGCAAATTCATGTTCTCCAGAAGTAATTCATCTGAAGGACATTGTCTGTTACCTGTCTCTCCTTGAAAGAGGAAGACCCGAGGATAAACTTGAGTGTATGTGTTTCTTTATTTAGTTTACTTCTCACAATAGTGGGGAGGAGGAGGGACTAGATACTGATGAATTGAAAATTATATTTACTATGGTTATCTAAATTTTCATTAAATGAAGTGGCCTTGGTTAAGAAATAAAAATTCTTTCAAGTGGGAATCAAAGGATATTGTGAATATATTAAGATTCTTATCAAGTTCCATTTATTACAGAGTATTTCTTTAGCATGTTGGTCTGTCAGATGACTTGTTCTTGACTGTCCCTCAGTTTGGTAACATGAGGATACTGGAAAGTGTCATTTGAATTGTTTTGAAAAAACACCTTTATTTCTAGGATATGAGGAGGTCTTCCTCTTAGTCAGCACCAAGGTTCACTGGACACATACAACCTGAGCCTTTCTCTCATGGAAATCTTTCTTTAAAACTTCACCACTAACACTTTCTGTGCCAGGAATAAATGGTTTCTCAGGTGCCAAACACCTGAAAGTTTCATATATAGGAGTTGACTGTGGATGTTGTAAATAAACATAGCTGTGTTTGGTTTTTTCCACAATGTAGCAGGTGTTTCAGATAGAGATTTTCTATCTAGGTGAAAAGGAGAGAAGTGCTGTCTTTAATAAAGCGCAGTGTGTGAGCTCTCTCTGGTGGCAAACTATACTCATTGCAATGCAAGATATATTTTTTCAAATATTTACACTAAGCCTGAACATTTAATAATCTGGTCTGTCTCCAAAGCCCCTGCTAAACATAGAGCTGGTAGTTTGTTCAATAATCCAATAACTTGATTATATTGGATAGTGTTAAAATAAATTAAAGTTCTTGCGACTGAAATGTTAGTGAAGATAACAAATCCTAAATTTGATATTTTCAAGCAAATATAGACCATAGTGATGTTTCAGAATTATGATTTGAAAGCATGTTTAGTTAAATCTAATAGTAACATGTTGATAATATTTCTCTTACTAATAAAGAATTAACTATAATATGACTAAGTCATACCTGTCTAAGTTATAAACTGTATTAGGAGTCTTTAAATACGTATTTATTATTCCTAAATGTGGAATATTTGCATTTCAAGATTTATTTGTATTCCTAAAGACATACATAAATCTTTCACATTCCACAATAAATATTAATGTTCAGGGAATTTCTCTTGAAGTGACAGCCAAGGAGAAAGTTTGCTCAGGTGTTGTCAGGTCCGTGTTTGGGATGATTTTAAAAATATACAGGCAAATCCTTTCTTCCAGGTCTGAGACTAAATGAAGGCACCATCATTCCTCTTCAACATGCTATTTGTGTTGGAGTTTAATTATTTTTATATCAACTGGAAGCATTTTGTTTTTAAGGTAGAATTCTTAAGAGGTGTGCTTTTAAGTTCTCACATTGAGTTTATGAATCAAACCGTCTTTGTCTACAACTGCAGTCAGAATGTTAACCCACAAGTCATTCAAAAACACTTGATGAATCAGGTCAAACCTGACCTGCCACTTACCTTTCTTCACTGTTTTCAACCTCCTTTATTCTGTTCTTTCTTCAAATTTTCCAGCTCTTTGTCAAGCATTTGTCAGATTCAGTTGCCTTTGCCTTTTTTCTTAACTGTTGCTTCAGACTCTTGTCTTAGTGGGAATTTTTAGAGCCTGGCTCTATCAGTATGATTTTCATCAGTCTCTTCGAAATAGATGAATGTCGATTTACGAATATATGAAGATTCTGCCTCTGTCCCTGCTACACTCAAGTTCTCTGCTCTACTCCTCTGATTTGGAGGAACTTAACTTGATCCTTAATTATCTGGAATTTGTTTTTTGTCTGTTTTGTTTGTTTGTTTGTTTGTTTTGCTTTGCTTTGCTTTGCTTTGCTTTGTTTGTTTTTAATGCCAGTGCCTGGCCCTTTCCTACCTCTGTTAAGTCAGAATCCATTCCTCTTACCCACTTTCATATCAATGGACTGTACACTCTTTTCCTTCTACAATTAAACATTGACATATTCTCAATATTCATGTAGTCTTCTAGAGCTACAGGTTTGAAAAATATTTTCAGTAATACTTTAAAGAAATTTAATGGTGGTTAATTTAACATACACTTATTTCCAAAAGGGTTGTGACTTATTAAACACAATATAAACTAGAGGAAAGAAAAAATAAGTAAGTTGACAATAAATAAATATGGGCAAGCACCTAATATAATTCATTTTTGCTGGTAAATGCTGAACTGGGATCTTAATTTCTAAGTAGCTAAACAGAAAGGAATACATGCACATTCACTTAGGCCAGAAGTTAAACTTGATCACACATAAGAATTACCTGTAGGACTTAGGAGCATACAGCTTATTCCGAGCCCCAGATTCAGTGTAGGTGCTTCAGCAGGCGTGGTGTGCGCCCTTAGAATTTTCATGTATAACAAGGCTCCACATAGTGCTGATGTTGCTGCTTCAGGGACCACATTCTCAGGAACACTGGCTTATGCAATTCCTCCGTCCAATGAAGCATATACACACACACACACTTTCTCTGAAGGAAGGACCGTTTCTCAGAACTGCTGAATGGTGACAGTATTTGGTAGGCTTCTTTCCCTGGGTTACTACATAAAATAATGACATGGTTGTAAATGTTTCTAAAAAAGATATTTTCCCCCAAAATACTGTTTTATAAATCTATCCATCACTTACTATCACCTCCCATCTTCCTACCTGTCTTTTTTTGCCAGGCATTTACACAATGTTTAGAATAAAGATTATTTTTTTCTTTGAAAGGAAATAGACAAAAGTCCTCGAACTTTCCACCGATTATGTCATTTCTTCAAATTACTTTGCCTAGTCCAATCATGTTTTCTCACTGAGAACTTTGCTTATTCTGAGGCCCTATCAAGTAGATGGCATTTATTCACCTGCTGCTGTAGAAGGTATATGTGCATGTGCACGTGTTTTTGTGTAAATGTGTTCAGGTTGTGGGGAATTCCATTTTTCTCTTTCTTTGTCGGTGCTACTTACCTGCCATCCTGATGAGTGGAATAGGAGCATTGTACCGCAGCTGTTTTGCCCTCCTCACCTTAAGTCAGCTACAATACTTTGTGGAGAGTCATTCAGTATCTCCCTCTGTTAGTTTCTTTGCCTTCCTCGAATTCTGTGATTTCAACTCCATTTTATTTCAGTCTCCCACATCTGCTGCAATACCACACGACTTGTAATTTGTAAAGACTGGTTTTATTCTAAAATTTTAAACTCTAACATTTTACTTTGACCCCAGACTATGATCACTTAACTTCCCCCTCTCCTACTTTTAATTTAAACATAGCATAGCACAGTACTGAAAAGCCTAGACTCTTGATTTCACTAACTGAATGCATCCTAGCTTTAACACTTATGACTGCCTGGGGCACATTTTATGAAACAAAAACCTCTTGAGGCCTTAGTTTCTCCAACTACAAAATTGGAATCATAATAATATCTATCTCATATGTTTGCTATAAAGATTAAATTAACCAATATTTGCTCACATAAATTCCTTCACATTTATTGGTTCACATAAATGTTTGTTAAGTGCAATTTAAATAAGTATTCTTGTCTCTTAACCATTTCCCTTCCTCCTGAATTTGCCTGCTGCTTTTTTGGAAACCATCCCTCCATAATCTATGATGCCAGTCATTCTTTGACACTTAGTTTTGGGCACCCAATTTATTTGCTTATATATGGTGATGGCAGAGATTTAGTAAAATAAAACTATAATTCTACAGATTATAACTCTACTCAAAACTTCAGCTGGCCTACAGTGCCCTCAGTGTTTCTCTCATCATCAACTTCTTCTAGTTAAGTTGATCCAGATGCTTCATTTTTCCAACACCTACGTATTTAATCATCATCTTTAGGTGTGAATTCTTATAACTTTGTTTCATCTTACGTAAAACTGGTCAACCTCTAGACATGTTCTTCTTCCTCTTCTTCTTCTGAATGTGTCCCTTTGACAGTTCCCCATTAAAAATACATAAACTTAAGCCCTAAACTTAGAGCTATAAACTGATTTGACTCTACAGTTTCATCCCAACCTAGTTGGCCGTCTTGCGTTTAGCTTTGACCTACATTTACATGCACAGACAACATCCTAGTCACATAGATCTACTTTTCAATCACCAGACAAACCCAAACTTTTTCATATTTATACCTTTGCTTATAATGTGCATTTGCTGGGAATGCTCTTTCTCAATGTGTATCAGATCCACTACAGTATACACTTGAGGCCCAGCTCATGTTATGAATTCTCTGGCCAACTCCTAATTGGATTCATTTTGCTTGTACACTTATGCTGTGTAACTTCCTACCCTAGCACCTACTCTGTGTGTGTGAGTGTGTGTGTGTGTGTGTGTGTGTGTGTGTATTTCAACAGACAGATGATCAATGAATGATACTTAATTGGAATTGTGTTGAAGTCAATGGGTGTTTGAGAAGAGAAAAAAACGTGAATTATTTAAGTCATGGAATGATGCTAAAATTCATTTATACTGCATTTTTATTTTATTTTATTTTTTTTTTAATTTTTTTTCAACGTTTATTTATTTTTGGGACAGAGAGAGACAGAGCATGAACGGGGGAGGGGCAGAGAGAGAGGGAGACACAGAATCGGAAACAGGCTCCAGGCTCTGAGCCATCAGCCCAGAGCCTGACGCGGGGCTCGAACTCACGGACCGCAAGATCGTGACCTGGCTGAAGTCGGAGGCTCAACCGACTGCGCCACCCAGGCGCCCCTATACTGCATTTTTAAGACACATTATATTTACATTAGGATTGGTATTTATAAATTGTTAATGACTTAAGGAATAATTTTTGTTAGCTTACATTTAATTAAAATGTATCACTGAAGAGAAATACAAAATACAGTTACAAAATACAAAAATAACCACAAAATAGATCATTGACACACAAATAATGAAGAATAACCTGTATGTTAAAGTTGTTGCCATGTATAGTATTAATCTTAGAACGATTGGATTTAACACTGAAGAGACCCTAAAGATCAG